GTAAAGTTATATTCAGCATATCCTGGAATTTCAGTATGAGACACAATAGCGAATCGGCTGACTGGAGAATATTAACCCCCGAATGTTGACGGAAAGAAATTTTTCTTTAGGAAGTTTGAAATTCTTTTTTTTTTCAAGATATTAACAACGAAATCACCTATGAAGTCAAAAGATTCATGAATGATATCTTCTTTGGAAATGAAATGTATGGAGGAAGGTATATAGGTCGTTCGATATACATTATTTCCAGACAGATTAGAGAACACTACCCAGTTTGGCTTTAGACAGGTACAGTTGGGTCGATTAGAAGTGCAATAATTGAACATCATATCAACACTGATACAGCGTTCAAAGTCATCTAAAGGGTGAGAAGAAATTTTCTAGAAAATGGAGCGTTTCCGCCTTGTCTCTACCGCAGAAGTTGTCGCTATATACATGGAGGAAACGAGATTGTATCTACAACCAAAAATAAATATCCATTATGAAAACTTTTGAAGATTTATAGTAGTTTATAGTATACACCAGTCAGAGAACCTTTGAAAACTCGGGGAATAAGATACCTATTCACTTAAATTTTGAGACTCTTCAGTATTCTACAACTACAACCACCGGGTCTTGGGATATGTCCGTTACCATTCAACCACTGGGTTGGAATTCAATGAACTGCATCTCCTAATTTCTGTCAAATCGTTACATACTGCCTTCTAATGACATTCGAGAGTATTTGTTGCCATATCAAATTAGGTTAACCTCATTGGTCACGGTTTTTTCATCATAACTTTGTGAAGTACTTCATAAAAAATTTCATGTTAATCAGTAAAAGATCTTACCGTAGAATATTGGAAGTATTGTGGATATAGTTTAAATGCTATTTGTTTAGAGGGTACTCGGCAAGACAGGCATGTTGATTGATCAGGTAGTGAACCTTAGTCGATTGAGATGACTTTGACATGTAATTGTCCATGCCGGGCCACCGCCTACCTTGACGTACCAGGTTGGATTAGTGTGGAATAGCTTCAAGGTGGCGAGATCAAGGCGTGGTGTAAACCAATGAAGCCCTTGACTGCTGATATGAGCTATGTGGGGACATGTAGACTGCCTGACTAGGGTCATCAAGGCGAAAGGAATTAATGGTTGAAAACTTGTTGTAACAATGGTGCAGGTGTATTCACTTCTTGACATCTAAAGCTTGAATATTTGGACCAGCCATTATCTTCAAACTTTTTCTTCTTTAATATCAGTCTTTTTCTACCCATCTCCCCTTTGTGAACTACTGTCCAGTGTGGCAAATTGAACCGATGCATTTGTGTGCGAGGTTCTACGTTGATTCTAACTGTCCTGTCTGTTCCAGGTAATTAGTAGGAACCTTTGCTTCATCTAGGAAGATTTCTTAGTTATGGACACTCATCCAGGTAGACAGCTTACCACGGAGCCATGCCGCTTGTGACCCAGCTTCTGCAGGACTGGACTGAATACATTGATTGGTCACTGGGGAAACTAATTTTATGCCATCTGGTCCTGTAGCTGTCTTCTTTATTAAACACATAAACACACACACAGAGTCTACCATGCTCTCAAGAATACTAGTCATCTAACTGGTGACAATTTAATTCGCAAAGATAATGTCCATTGTAATTAATGAGAAGGGCATACAACTAGTTCTCTCTGTTGCTTAAAGTTACCAGTGTAGTTAGGCATACGTTTCCCCGATGAATTCTCCATCGATTCTACTTCAGGCAAGGTTCTTAATGACATGGGTTGTTGCAATGGTCATGGATTAATTCTACTAGGACAAAGGTAATTTTGATAGACATTGTTGCATAACTGTGCGACTATCCTATTACTTTCCATCAATAAAATTTAAATGGATGGCCATGATTGGATGTTTGATAGCAAAGGCTAGAATGATTTTACTATTCATGTCTTCATCATCATTTGATTGTGAAATTTTTCTAAACATATTCTTTATCCTAATAACCATCCCTGTAATTTTATGAAATCTGGTCTCCCTGAACCCAGAATTATCCCCAGCTTGACATTTAAGTCTGTTGATTCGGAATGTCACACAGTGAAGCAATATTATTTATTGGATAGCATTTCGGACATAATTTTTTGCCCATAGTCACATCAAAGTAACTCCACAACTTGCAGACACAGTTCAAATAGTTCCAATTTTGTCTCTTTTATGATGAAGGTACTAGTGTTTTCTATATGTCTATATTTTGTGTGGTTTCTAATTGGGCCTAGTATCATTGCTAAACATTTAGACAACTTAAAAGTCGAAGTTACTGTTGAATCACGAACTCTTATGACTTAAAGCACAGATTAGATGATATACGAGTCGATAACAGTGAATAAATGGATAGTTTTGATATGACTAACTTGTACACAAATATACCAATCGACATGACTCTAGCGGCAGTTAGAAATGAGTTTAAAGATGACAATGAGTTTACCCATCGAAATATGGTATCCATTGAGGAGATCATACTAGCAGTACGATTGTCCCCATCATCTACAGTTTTCAAGTTTCCCAATAAAATATATGAACAAAGTGAAGGTGTTGCCATGGCATCACCAATATCCCTTATCGAAGCAGATATATTTACGGATAGTTGGTAAATGAATGGCCCTTCAAACATTTCATCCTACTCCAAAGATATCGTTCCCATATGCAGATGATGCGTTTACACTACTGAAATCGGAACTCATCAATAGATTGTTGGAACATATACATTCAGTAGTGAATGCAATCGAATTTACCTGTGACTTAGAAAGGTATGAAGGTGAATTAGTAGGTGTCGATTGCAAAATTCAATGAGAGCAGAATGGAAGTTTACAGATTAGTGTCTGTATGAGACCTTCCCATTCGAATAGCTATTTAGGCATCGAATCATCTCAGCCTATCTCAGTTAAATGCTTAAGTGATAAGGTGGGAAAGCTTACTAGTAGGCCGGAAAATCTACGACGAGAAGGTAGACACATCAAGAATACCCTACGTCTCAATAACTACCCACTCAAAGTTATGACTAAATTGATAAGAAGTGGAGAGAAAAATATGAGCATTAGTAGTAGTAGTAGTAGTAGTAGTAGTAGTAGTAGTAGTAGTAGTAGTAGTAGTAGTAGTACAGGTGTTATTGATAATAATTCCACAACTGATAGTAATAGTATTGAGTGAGTTGAGAGAGGATTCAAATCCTCTACTCTGTTAGCATACAAAGAAGAAACCTGAGAAGCATTACGAAGAATTTTGAATAAGGCTGGTTGGGATTAATGAGGCACTTAGACCAACAACCTCTCTGAGAAATAAGCTTTGTAGGCTAGAATGTCTTGTTGATCGAATTAGGTAAAATAATTTGGTTTAACAAATGTCTTGCAATGATTGCGAGGTTAAAGTGCTCAACCTATGTGCCGACTGAACTCAGTCGATCATTTTGTAATGTGACCATCAAGATAGAAAACTTCCAATCGTGGTAGACGTTGGTTGATGTTAGTTAGATTCAGACAATCTGTAGGTAAGTACAGATTTTTTTGAGTAACATTCAATATTCTATACAACTCAGGGACTGTAGACCTCATCAGACATAGCTGAAAATTGAGATCTGGAATAATCTTGTTCTGAAGTATTTTGTGTTTCCACACAAATAATAAGATGAGATTAAGCATGAGAAACAAAGTGTGGTGACTTACACTGTAGTCCGATTTTTACTTTCACTGTTCTCTTCATTGATATTATTGCTGACTATTCTGTCACTGATACCTTCGATTCTTTCTTTCCATTATCTTCACGTCATTTTCATTGCATATTAATTTATGCTTGTGTTTTGGTGCCTGATAATGCCATTTCTGTTGTGCACCTTACATAAACTTATAGTACCGTTTGAAGGTTAGTAATGATTGGCAGATCGATTCCTGACAGGGTCTTGGATGTGTACACAGCTGAAGAGTCTCATACTAGGATGAAACAGCTGTTCAGCGCCCGGAGGTTTTCAGTGGTCCTCTAGCCATTGTCAGTCTGTGATGAATGCTATCTTGAAATCAACCAATTCCCACTAGCCACCAACTGGATTTCTAAAAACTCTTTATCATTATTATTTTTCCCTTGGGTTCCTAGTAGAACATGGGGCTTCAGTAGCACACGTACATTGCGCTCGCTTATCTGCACTCTTTTGAACTTTGCCCCACCACCGCCCACAAGCTCTCATTTCTTCCTCATACAATCTCCTCTATATCACCCTCACCTTGGAAGCCCAACTTGTTGTTCTCCATCTTGGTTCCACTCGAATGCCTGACCTGGTGCGTGATGCCTACAGTCGGTCTTCTCAGTGTATGCCGAATCCATCTCCACTTTCTTCCAGTGCATATTTGTAGAGTGATAGGTTCTTGCTTTGTTGGTTCGTTGCCAGCCAGCCAGAGTTCCTTGTTGCTTATTCTTTCTCGCCTTCTCATCTGATCTTCAGTATTGAGCCAGCGTAGGTAGCAGTTGTTGATGAATATCTGTAGTTTGTTGGAAATGGCTTTCGTGACTGAAACTCTATAGGTTTATAAAATAGTAACCGGTGTTGGTTTATAAAGTTATCTATAAAGCTAAATTATGCACAGCACTAAATTCGACTGTAATTCAATCTTAGATGCTGATTATCGATTGACAAGAAGTTATACTTGACCTAGAGTGTCATGTAACATAGAGCTAGTTGGCTAGATTTGTCAGTCTAGTGTGTAAACTCTGGTCAACATTTAGGAGTTGGAAGCTACACCTCCTAACCAATTCGTGCAGGCGATTAGTCATGAAATGGATAGCCTAATAGTATTGGCCGATTTCAACGCCGATTAACATGTTAGCTTGAATATATTTTCAATTGTTATTTTATATTCAAATTTTATAGCTTTTTTGTACATCATTCGACTAGTTTTTAAAAAAAAAGTTAATCTTTTGTTTATTTTCTTAAATTTTAGAGTATTTATAATTTTCAATAAAATTCACCCAGTTTATTGAGTGAATGATGACTTCTAATACAACAATCCCAGGATTAGCATTCTATGATTCTTTAGTCAATAATGATATTGTAGAGTCGAAAAGATTAGTAGAAATACACAAAATTGATTTAAATGCCCGCCTAAGTCATGTGAGTCTTTGTTCAATGATTCATTGTTTGATAGTTACATTTTTTTATTGTCTATAGTATATGTTTACCTTTTTCAGTGTTGAACACTTTATCTTGTTATAGTTTTGCCATGTGAAATATACTACTAATTAATATAAGTAGTTACAGATCAGTAGTACTCGCTAGCCGAATCAATGCGATGTGAACACTTAACAGTTTATTTTTTAGCAAACATTTGATTCGTTTCTAGTTATCAACTCGTATTTTTAGTTTTAATCAGATGAAAGTAATTTAAACACGAAATACCATGCATTTTGAAGAGATTTACACATTACTCATTCAATTCACGATACATAAGTTGCTCTAAGCCATCTAAGCGAGATCTAATGAATTTGAATTGTTCGTTTGTCTATGCTGTCTGTATTATTATTATTGTCATTGTTATTTGTCCCTTGGATTCCTAGTGGAACATACGGCTTCAGTAGCAAGTCACCATTTCACTCGCTTCTATGCAATCTTTCCAACCTGGCTCCATGACTCCCCACAAACTCTCATTTCTTCCTCACACAGTCTCCTCCATGTCACCCTCATCTCGGATGCCCAACTCAACTTTTCTCATCTGGGTTCCACTCGAGTGCCTGACCTAGTGCGTGATGTCCCCAGTCAGTCTTCTCAGTGCATGACCAATCCAATCCATCTCCACCTCCTTCCAGTGCATATTTGTTGAGTGATAGGTTTTTGTTTTGTTGGTTCGTTGCCAGCCAGCCAGCCAGCCAGAGTTCCTTGTTGCTTATTCTTTCTCGCCTTCTCATCTGATCTTCGGTATCGAGCCAGCGTAGGTGGCAGTTGTTGATGAATATCTGTAGTTTGTTGGAAATCCCTTTCGTAACGCGCCAAGTCTCTCAATCATCACATAGAAGCACTGACTCACTTGAATGAATGAGTGTTGAAAATCCGCACCTTGTTCACGATTCACGCTGAGTGCAGAAGATCTCCACATTGGTTTCAGGTTAATGAAAGCCTGTCTTACTATCTTCCCGATCCTGGCTGTCTTTGACATCCTCGTCTGTGTCTGTGTCGACGCCTGTAGTTGAAATAGTGCTGCCTACATAATTGAGAGAGGGTACTTCCTTTAAGTTTCTCCCCTTGATGGTGATTGGAGCTTGTCGTTGTTGTTGTTGGTGGTGGTGGTGGTGGTGGTGTTGGTGTCATTGGTTGGGTATCTTCATCATCCCTGTCTTCTCTCCGTTCACTTGAAGTCCTGTCTTCGCTGCCTTACCTCTTCTTCCAACTTGTTAGCTTTTGCCTGTACATCTTCAAGTTTGTACTACAAGACATTGGACACAAGTCATTGGCAAAATCCATATCTTCTTCTAGGGTCTTTTCCCCGTCCAGCCTATCCCACTGTTCTCGCTCCTCACTGTTTCCCGCATGAGAGAAGTCCCTAACGGTCAAATATATGTGTTGTTTCTACAGGTGGATAAATCCATAGCTATGCATTTCTAATGACGCGAATGATACCTCCTTAAAAGTGTACAATATTGCACTATCAATCAGTCAAAATTGTTTGTTATAACTGCATCATACAGTCAGCGTTCTTTATCGGCCGCATAAACTTTTCTATTATCATGCAAAATACTATTTAAAACAAGCAACAAGTGTGAAAAAAGCAGGATTTAATGAATTCATAAATTTCAGTAGTACTCGTCAGCTGGATGATACTCTACATACTTGATTATATATACCGTTAAGCAATGGAAAAGAACATACATACCTACATACATACATATACAAAGTAGACAGACAAATTTAGGTGTAACAACATAGAAGTGAATAGTTTTTACAGGTCAAATGGTTATCCAGAGGATGGAAATGGATATTCAAGATTGTTGACATTGAGGTGAGAACTGAATCGATTGAGTGTCGATCACGTCATTGAAAACAAGATAGTTAATAGTACTTATGCAGACAATAAGAAAACAAGGTGTATATTGAGATGAATAACAATGATAACATTGGCAATAGGAATAAGGTTAATTAGACGGAGTAAATCAGGGAAGGAAAACAAATATGAGATGAGTGATAATTAATAGTGAAGAGTAAAATAAGAAAGATTAAATATGATTAGACAGTGTTGTAATTATTACTATGGCAGATTCAGGCTGACTACCATTTCCTTCTGAATGCAAAGGTTTGGTTTGACAACTCGAATCGTGCAGGCTTCTACATATCCAAGCAACTTCTTATTTTGCTGTCTACTGATAACTTTAAAGGACTTATAGGTATCAATATCATGTCCATAGTCCATTAGGTGCTTCGTTATCGAGCTCCTCGGGGTCTTCTTTTCCGCATGCTTCAACCATCTAGGTATGTGCTCAACCATTCGGGTGGACAGACGCCTCTCCGTACGACCAATGTATTTGCTTCCTCAGGTACATTCGAATTGATATATGCATTTAGATGTGTCGAGGATCGGAGTACTGTCTTTCCCTGATTGCTGCAATACCCTTTTGGTGGTGCTAAGAAGAACCAGTTTAGCTGCGTAGTAAGTCCTTCTGATAGACTTCTCCAGTCTTCGTCTAACTACCTCTAGCACGTCGTCACCTTTGAATGGCAAGGTGACATAGGCTGGTTTCTTCTGCACTGTTGGGGCCGTTGTTCTGCTCCCTACCCACTTCGCGTGCTTGTTGAAAAAGCTTTCTGGGTACCCATTCTTCACCAGCACGCTTTTCAAAGTCCCTATTTCGTAGTCTAGTGTGCTGTCGGAACAAATTTTCCTGGCTCTGTTACACAGCGTTCTAACTACATTCACTTTGTATTGGATCGGAACAAAGCTCCTAAAATGAAGGTATTGTCCTGTCTATGAAGGTTTCCTATAGACGGACCTTTCTATAGATCCATCGATTTTTTTCACTAATGAGACATCTAAGAAACTAATCATATTATTTTCCTCGTGCTCAATCGTAAAAGTCAGGTTTGGGTGACATGAATTGAAGCTCTTCAGTAGTGCTTCTGCCTCCGCTTTACTATTGCATACAATGAATATATCGTCCATATAGCGCTGGTACAATTCCGTCTGACCAATGAGGCGCTTCAGGCTACTATTTTCCAGACTGGATAGAAATAAATCAGCGAAAGGGGATCCAGAGGGCTTCCCATTGTGACTCCATCGGTTTGGCAGAATAACTGTCCGCTGAACTGGAACTGGATGCTCTTGGTGCATAGATTTAGAAACTTTCTCAACTCACTTGTTGGGATAGGGATATTACCAACTTCTCGACAGATAAACTCAATGGTTTCATCAACTGGTACATTTGTGAAGAGAGATACAACATCAAATGAAACAAGATGCTTACCAGTGCTATTGAAATCTGTGAGGTTTCGAACAAACTGGAAGGTATCAGAGACAGTGTGTTCTCCCAGACGTTTGCATAATAGTTCGAGAAATCCGCATAACCACTGGTCTTCTTTATGACATGGTGAATTTATCATTGATAATATTGGCCTTAAACGCACACCTGGCTTATGTATTTTCGCTCGCCCATATAACTTTGGGATCTGTGATCCAATTGGTTCAATGCTTTTAAATATGGTTTCGTCTATGTATTTAGCTTTGAGGAGCTGCTTTAGTTGCTGTATCATCTGTTTTTCAATATATGATGTTTGGTCTTTAGCGTTACTATCCAATATGAATTTCGAGTTGTCAGAGAGAATTTCGTGCATCTTTGTAACATAGTCTGTTTTGTTTATAAGAGTTACACATTCTTCCTTATCAGAACTGAGAATAACCAGATCTTTGTTTTCTCAAAGCTCACGTAAGGTTCTCCAGTGTTCGTTAGATATAATTCCTTTTTGGCTAGAAGATATTGTTCGGAATTGGTATGCAATATCTACCATCTTGGATTTGAACCAACTTTCATTGTCTTTCAAAGCAGCATGAAGACTCCTGAGTTGATCATATATAAGTTTTCAAACTGGGCTTCAACTTCGATTTGTCGTACTACTGAAATTTATGAATTCATTAAATCCTGCTTTTTTCATACTTGTTACTTGTTTTAAATTTGTATCGGGAAACAAATGTTTTCAAAATACTATTGTTTATTATGTGCATCAAGTTTGCGCTACGATATCGCACTAGTCTCAGTCATAACAAGTAGAAATGGTGTTCCAAAAGAATGCCCATTAATTGATTGGTCACGGGAATGCAACCATTTTCATGTTGTCTACTCCTGAGTACAGACCGCATTCTATCCATCATATTTGCAATGTGGCAACCAAGCTAGGAAGCTCAGCATCGCGGCTTCCTGCCGATTGCCTCCAACCAACTAACATGTACGAATGCCCATTAAGCCTGACTGACTGACTGACTGACATTATCAACACAGAACCCTTCAAAGAGGTGCATCGGTTCAAGTTGCCCCACTTCACAGTAGTACACAAAGAACAGGTGGATAGAAAAGGAGTAATATCAAAGTAGATAAAGTAGTGTGAGAGGACAAAAAAATCTGAAGATAAAGGTTAGTGTGAATATTCGCACTTTAGAAGATGTCGAGGGGAGAAAACAACTGCGCTATTGTGGCATATTTTAAGCCATGTCACCAATAGTTCCCAACCACTGATTCTTTCCATCTCACGGACCCCAGTCAGGCAGTCTGAATCTTCCCACATGGCTCATGCCGGCAGTAAGGGACTCAGTCGACTTGTGTCACCTCTTGGTCTGGCCACCCTGAACCCATTTCCATCCTATTCCAACTTCCCTTAGCATGGGCGTCTAGGTAGGCGGTGACCGTGCATGTACAGTACACGTCCAAACTATCTCAGTCGACTAAGGTTCATGACCTCATCAGTCGACTTGCCTATCTTGCCTAGTACCTTTCGCCTCACCTCAACAATTCTTACATGGTGATTCCACCACGCGCGAGGAATGCTACGAAGACACCTATGGTCGGAAAACTGTAACTGTTTCATGTCTCCTACTTTTAACGACCATTTCTTTCATCTGCACAACAACACAGAATGGA